CTGCCCCCTCTACTCCCTAGAGGCCCGGGTCCTTGGTTGGCCTTGTGGGAAATCTGGTCCTGCCGATGAGAAAAGCCGATATAGACAGAAAATGGAAACAATGCGGCCAAATGTACAAATACCAAAACCATGAAAATTAAACTATGGATGGTGATAAGTCCCAAAAATTATACAGAAAGTCCCTTTCAAATGAGCCCCTTAGGCTACTGACAGCATAACTGGATTTAGGACTTGTTTAGACCGCCATACAGGAGCCTTTAGCTGCACTCAGAGTTTTTTTTCCCGCTACATTTTGTCATTTACATATTTTATAGCTACGGATGCAATTGTAGTCTCTATGTCATTTTTTGTAGCCCTGGCGAGGAGGAGGGGACGCATAGAGCCCCGGAAAGGCAATTTTTGGATACCGCTTTTTTGGACCTCTCCTTTCTAGCAATAAAAACCTGATAGGAATTCTAAACCTTCCACACTCCCCCGAAAAATAAGAGATGGGCTGCGAAATTTCACCTAAAAAAAAAAAAAATCGCTCACCCCCCCAGAAATTAGAACTTTAATTCAGAACATTTTCAGCTCAATGCCTTGGAGTCGCATGAAGGTGGAATTTGCTAAAATGTCACTGAGCGTGAAATCAGTTTTGCAGAAATTTCGACGCTCACCCCCCCTCCAAAACTACAAAGAAAAATGTTTGGCTCCAGATAGACTTTATACTCTCTCAGAAATATCAGCCCTTTGCTGCCACCTAGAGGCCAAATAACATAACTGCAGTGTAAGGTCATGGAAGAGATACATACTGAGCATAGAATAGGTCACAGTGGTGGCGAACCTTGGCACTCCTGCTGTTTTGGAACTACAAGTGCCATGAGGCATTGCAAGGCTCTGACAGCCACAGACATAACTCCCAGAGGCAGATGCATGTTGGGATTTGTAGTTTTGGCACAGCTGGAGTGCCAAGGTTCGCCACCACTGGAATAGGATATATACTGCATGATAAACCAGTCACAAGGATATGTCCAAAACCAAACCCACCAGCATCCTATTGAGGTTGAAGTAGCTCTACGCGGAGACGTAAAATCTACATCTGGAGGGAGGGCATTGGATTGGTTGGGGGCAGTGGCGTCACAAAGGGGGTGCGGGGGGTACGGCCTACACCCAGGTGACACCATTGGAGGGGTAGAAAAAAGCAGGGAATCACCAAGCACTCAGTAATGTAAGCAAATTTGTCCTTTTATTGGACAGAGGCGTCATAGAGATCAAAAGAACCGACGTTTCGGGGCCGCGCAGGGTCCCTTCCTCAAGGTAGAAAACATGACCATTGGAGGGGTGACACCAAAATGACTGACAGTCATTTTGGTGTCACCCCCTCTAAAAAGTTGGGCACTCGACAGTGTCAGGAGAGAGGAGGGGACCTGGCAGCATACCTCATCCCGCCGGGTGATCGTCCCCTCCAGTGGCGTAACAATCGCCATAGCGACCAATGGGGCCCGGCCAGATGCCGAGCGGACCGCCTGGGTCGCTATGGCATCCTCTGCTGGCGGCTTTCACCGGCGGCCCTGAAGAAGTATCCGCTGCTGTTCAGATCACTGACCGTAATCTGCAGCATTGCGTTCGTCTCCAGAGCCGCTGCTGAGTCAATGAGAGCCAGCAGCGGCGGTGGAGTTGGCCGGTCCCGGCAGTGAAGGAGGAGGCGGGGCCCGTGGTCGACAGCAGGGGAGAAGCCGGAGCCCGGTGATGGAGAAGGAGCTGATGGACAGCAGGGGAGAAGCCGGAGTCCGGTGATGGAGAAGGAGATGATGGACAGCAGGGGAGAAGCCGGAGCCCGGTGATGGAGAAGGAGATGATGGACAGCAGGGGAGAAGCCGGAGTCCGGTGATGGAGAAGGAGATGATGGACAGCAGGGGAGAAGCCGGAG